TTCACAAAACATCCCTGGTTGACTCTCCCATAATTAGAGATTATTTGATCCGATAGTCTAATATTGTAGATTATAAATCAATGACATGATGAGAAATAACAATAAGTGCAAATTTCAGGCTTTTATCTTTAATCGATCCTCATTCGAATACAGGTTTACATTTTAATGTGAGAAAAAACCTGCTAAAAGTGGGTCAACAGACGATGTGTAGAAAGTTTTCTGACAAAGTGTTTTATATATTAAGCTAAAATGTCACAGATATCTGAATAAATCTCCATAGTTTATGCTATAACAACATCAAGCAAATCAGACATGTTCATGCAGGAGTAGGTGGAACGATTTGTCCAAGAGGACCCTGAGAAGTGATCCCTGACTTTTTATTTGTGTTGACATCTTCCGTGCTTTGACTGACGGTCGTCGGGGGACCACAGTTTTCACAGAGGCCACTAATGAAGCCACCATGTAAACATCTGATGAAGTGTGTAATTAACAAATCGTGGGGTGATTTTCACAGCCGGCATCGACAGCCTCTAATTTCTCTGCAGCTGTGAGTGAAGCAGTAAGAACAGTCGTTTCTCCCAACACATCAGAGGCTTGAGCTCAGGTTGAGCTCGTCTTCCCACAATGTTGGAATATACCAAAAAAAACCATGGATACCACAATGTTAGGCTCATATTTAGCAGATAAGAAGTTTGAAGAGTTCACCATTCTGCTTTTCTCTGTTTCCACCTGCTGCTCAACCCAAAAAAAAATCCCTCAATTTTTGTCACATGATTGTTGTTCACAAGCGAGTCAGTCATGGCTTCATATTTGTGACGTTGAGCTCAGAATTTTTTCTTTTTTACAGAATATGTTTAACACAAACAATACATTTTTTGGCTAATTTTTAAATGAGACGTTTAAATTAAACACATTTTGATTAATTATCTGGCTTTGTAGCTCAGATTTGGTTCCATTTTCTGTCCTTAAACTTCACATCACACATGAACAGCTGAGCGAATGGTGGAAAACCGGCGATTCTTTCTGTGTTTACAGTTTCTGGCTTTGATAAATGATGTAATTTTGGTGATTGTTTTTTTAGGAAACTATGCACCTTTGCACTTGTCAACAGGTTCTTGGGTTTAAAGAGTTGATGAATATGGAAGTAAAATACTATTATGCATGCTGAATAGTTTGGAGAGAATGTTTTGAATAAAAAATAAAGATTTCAAAATCATTAAAGGACATTTAGAAATTTAAAAATACTCAGATATTCTAGATGCAGTTGTATTTTTCTCTGTGAAATTAAATGCCTATTGTGTGTGTTAGTTGTATGAGAGAATTGCATTATTTTTGTTGCTTTTAAATTGTCTTTGTTTAAAGCTCTGGTAAATGCTTTACTGTAATTGAACTAGTAATTTTTTTTATTTATTTTTTTAAATATCCAGGATTTTTTTTTTAACTTTAAACCATTAATATAGCCACTAGTTTTTACTTTCTTGCAACCTAGATTTGCTTTTTTCTAATATGAATATGTTACCTGTCATCTCTAGAAACGTGTTTTAAAAGTCTTTTCCACAAATGTTGCTAAATATAGTTTTGAACCAGTAAAACCCACTTTTTAAGGTGTTTTGACTGTATTTTCTCCCAAAGAATGCTCATTTTAAATTCCTTTACATTTCATTAATGCAAAGAAAAGAGCTCATTCTTCCTATTTTTTACCGGCTGTAACAGGTTTATTTCATGGGTATTTGTACAACGATGCATTCAGGGTTACACACATTGTGCACTTTATCAGTGAAATCGGATGTCATAACTAGATTGTTAACTAAAATAATATTTGGACTAGAGCTTTGTGATTTTGCAAGGTCCTGTGAACTTAGAGGTTTTCTCATAATATAGTTGGTGTCAAATAGTAATGAAATGCTTTGGATGAAAGTAAATTATCATCAACATTTCTAGTTTGTTCAGTAATTCAAATATAAACTGAAGCAAGAATGTCCATTTACTCTGATGATGAGGCTGAGATTAAACGGCATCCTGCACTAAACATTTAACGTTTCCCATCACACAGGTTGGTTCATGGGGGTGACTTCAGTGAAGTCTGAGTCTCAACATACTGCAGTTTTAACGTCTCCAGAAATTAAAGAGTCTTCAGCAACGTGTCGTCTTCGCCTCAGATATTTCCTCTGGGACTCAGGTAATTATCATTAATCACTGCAGGTCACACTTTGAAACATCGCTGGCTTCTGTTTTTGGGTTAAAACACGATACCAAAGGCAGAACTTCATGTTGTTTTAAACTACTTTTACTAGAAAGAACTTGCAAAAGGCCTGCAGCTGCCCTGCTTATAAAGTGTTTGCTGCACCGACGACAGGTCGCTCTGGTTTTGGTTCTGCACCTTTGTGGGCGTCCATCCTTCGCCAGGATTCTCCAGAGATCGTCGTGTGGCGTCCGGAGGCCTCCAGCGTCCGCGGCTGGAGGGAGGCCAACATCTTTCTGGGCCGTAATCCCTCAAGATTCCAAATCCGTCTTCAGTCACGTCGCTCTGAAGGACAAAAAGGAGACGTGGCCATAGACCAGCTGGAGTTTCTAAACTGTGCTCTGCCCCGTGAGTCCCTCAAAATACCCCGGTCCTGAGTGTCCACCTGGCAGTTCACTGCTATAAATGAATCAGTTTAACAAGCACTTCCACCAGACGAATCAAACTGCAGAGCCGTGATTGTGCTGATGTTGTTTCCTTCTAATTAAATCTTCAGTACCAAAAAGCTGTGCAGAAGGGATGGTGACGTGCGGCAACGAGGGCTGCGTGGAGCCTCGGCAGGTGTGCGACGGCACCGATGACTGTGGCGACGGGACGGATGAGATGAACTGCGGTGAGCAAATTCATTTAATCTGAATCCTCCGACACCGTCGTGCTTTAATTATGTCGGGATATGTTCAGAGACGTGTGACTCACAAGTCAAACCTACAAAGTACAAAATAAGTCTTTTGTAGTTTGTGGACAAGGAGCTGAACCAGATCCACTGATTCCTCTGGAAATTTAATGGAAATTACTCGTCTTAACCACCAAAAATACAATTCTTGTGACCTCTTTTGGCTCTTTGTTGGAGGTTTCAAAGCTGCATATCTTAAAAACTGTGCACCTAAAACCAAAAGCATCTGCGGCTCGATAAGACGATGACAAGTCGTTTTAATGATGAACGAACCCTTTTAACAGAGGTTTGTGAATGGAGAAAGGAATAAATGGAGGACAGGAATGGCGTTTTCTTTTTTCTGTCAACAGATAAGAAGCTGACACCAAAAAAAAAAAAACAACATACAAAGAATTGCAACAGTCTGTGAAAACAGCATGAATAACATTTTCAAAGCCTTGAGAGGAAGATTTTGCTTTATGTTAGCTAAAAGTCTCAACTGAAAAAGACGGTTTTCTGTCTGAAAAATCTGAGGGAAGTGTTAAAGATCAGACCAAAAGAGTAATTATATAAAGCCAAAGAGCCAAGAGTGTCATCAGCGTCACCCAAAAGGCCTGGTCGACCAAACATAACGATTTGTGTCTTATTTCCATACAGGTTAAGAACATTGAAATCCGTTCATCTAAATGTGTATGACTTAAAGGAGTCCATCATGGGCTGCACTGAGGTTTTACATTTCATTTTTTGGGGCACATAGGATTATCTGCAAAGAATAAAAAGGAATGTGGTGTTTCTTCAAAATAGAAACATGTACAATGAAAATAGGAGGGGACTCAAAACGGAGCCCTGAGGAACGCCACAAGCTGAACTGAGAAGCTCCCATCCCACTTGTAGACAGTTCCATTGATGCCCACACGTTCTTCAAGATGTATTAACAGTATATTACAAGTTTCCTGATCAGCTGTTTAAAGAGGATCAGTAAAAACTCATTAAAAGGCTACTGTGGTGAAGTATGAAACCAGACTGACCCTTTTCACGGATGTTGTGGTTTTCTAGAAAGGTTTGTAACTGAATGAAAACAACGTTCTCCAAAGATTTTGGACAGAAAAAGCAACTTGGTGTAATGTGCTGACAACTTGGAGAACTCCAAACTGTGGTTGAGGTCACAGATCAGTGAGTCGATTGTCTGTTGTGTCTCCAGAACTCAAAGGCTACCAGCGCTGCGACTTTGAGGAGGATTTGTGTAACTGGGACCTGAGGTCACTTTCCCCACTGAAATGGGTGAGAACCAATCAGAAGGACATCTCCGTCTCAGATCCTATGCAAGGACCAGGCAGAGATCACTCCAACAACAGCGCATCAGGTAGCGTATCGTTGTGTTTCTGTTTCACTGTAAACGTCTTCAGCATGAATCTTTTTTTTTACTGGACGTTTTTTTTTTTTGTATGCGTTTGTTTTTGGAAACAGCCACATAAATAACAGAGGATGTCATTGTTTATACTGCAGGTCACTTCCTGTATGTCACTGTTCCTGAGCCGGGTCTTACAACCGATTGGGCTGCTTTCCAAAGTCCTTCTCTTCAACCCACCAACAGTACGCATCCTTGTAAGGTGAGTCCCAAACTTATTCCTTCTCCGTGTATTTTTATTGTTATGCTGCAGTTTTACAGTGATTTACTTGCAGTCTGAACAAAAACACATTAATTACAAAGAGAAATAACAATTGGGAAAATTACTGAAGAGGAAAATGTCGTTTCATCCTTAAGACAAAGACAATTTCAAACACAGTTTGGACCTAACTGAACAAGTTTCCTGTACCTGCCTTCTGTAGATGGTGATGTACACGCACCAGTTTGGGCCGAGGTCCGGCGGTTTGACGGTGTTGGTAGCAGATCGGGAAATTACCCCAGTTTGGGAAAGGGGCGGATCTCTTGGTGACGTCTGGGTGAAGGCAGAAGTGGAGATTGTCACAGACTTGACATTCCAGGTGAGTTTATGGCCATATTAATGATGCTGGTTGTCACCCTATGAGAACTTTAAAACAGAGTTGATGCTACAGATTCATAAATGATAATTAGACCTGACAGCTAGCTGTAAAATTACCTTCAGTTTATTAAGTAAATGTGTGAATTTAATGTACTCAAGTAAAAAACAACTGATTCAGCGTGTCCACTTGCTGCCTAATATATCCAACCTCTTGACAGGAGTCACTATAATGAGATAATCAGTGTCGCTGACTTTGTTTCTCAGTGGTTTCAGCTAATCAATGCATTGTTTTTAATGCAACAGCCTTCTTTGCTGCTTCGTATAGGAAGTCATAACAGGTTGTGTGTATGAATAGATATGGGACATACATGCCTTCATCATGGAGACTTCGTGAAAGAGAAAAAAAATAATTAAACTATGGTTATTACTTCTGTTATTCTAACTGTGTATCTCTATAAGCTCTATACAGGTATGTAAATTCCCATATACTGTACTTTATTATTGTAATGTACATATGCCTGACTTTATTTCTCCTATCTAAAATTTAAAAAATTGATCACAGAAAAAAACTATAATACTTTGCAGGCTGTGTTAATAAAAGTGAAAACAGACAGCTTACAAGTGTAAATTCTACTTCTGTCATTCTGTGAGTGTTGCAAACGAGGTACAACAATGAAATAAAATATCTGTTTGTAGAGAAAAGTTGATGGTTGAACGCACAAGATTCTGACTTCACATCCTGAATGTCTTACATAATAAGAGTTTTTGAGTTTCCCATAGACTCAGTTATACATTTCATATTGTATTTTTGTTTTTTACATATTTAAAAATTTAATATAAAAAATATTTAAAAGAAAAAAAAAGAAAAGAAAAAAAATTGAATTTCCCTTCTGGGATAAATAAAGTATTTTCATTTCATTTAACACCTGAACAATCAAGTGGGAGCTTTTTCTCCTGCGTGTTTAGATTAGAGTGTGATTTATGCTGGTTACAGTTGGGATGTAAATTGAATTTGCCTCTTTTCTACTCTGTTGTGGTTTCTCCTCCTATAGATCCTGATAATGGCAGCAGTCAGAGACTTTGCTTACGGTGGTATCGCTGTCGACAGCATTGTGTTGTCCCCTGAATGCCGCAGATCAACTCGTAAGCTTTTGAACTGTCTTGACTTTGGCGGGGGGATTTTATTCCATATCTGCCAAGAACAAGAATAAACATCATCTGTTGCTTCTCATTTCTTCTTCTTCAACAGTAAATAATACTCTGGAGAAATTCCCTAAACCCCCTAATGACCCGTGTACGGAACCGGATAAGATGTGTGATTTTCATGAAGACTGTGCAGCAGCCGAAGACGAAGCCAAATGTGGTGAGTTTTTTCCTCCTGTTCACTCTTTAGCAACTATTGCAAAACAGACTCATTTTAGAAGGTTGGCAAGTATGGACCAAGACTGTCTTCAGCTGGAAAAATAAGAGCCTTATAGATATAGACGCAGAAACAGTTTGGGCTTCAGAGGGTTGAAGTTTCAAACATTTTAACTTTCCCTTCAAATTAAGACCAAAGGGCTGCTGATGACCCACTTAGAGTTAAAACTTTATGCAACTTTAGGCTATCAAGATCACACAAAAGACTGTACTCTGCTTTTTCTACTTTAAAGCTTGCATTTTAATACGTTGGTTAATTTCTCTTTTTTTTCTACCTACCCTCATCTTTGTCACTCGTGTTTGATTGTCCTGAACATGTAACATAAAAGTTAATTGCAAGACATTGTCGGTGTTTCGCCTTATTTTGAGCGTGACGTCTCCATGGGTCATTCCTGCAGGGGATTTCTCTCAGGCTGAGGGCAGCTCAGGCTGGACCGACTCCAGCATTGGAAGCCAACGTTGGGTTCTGCATGAAAACTCCACACACAAAGGTACAAACACGTTCCTCACTCCTTCATTCAGTAGCCTTTGCTAATCTCCACATGCAGTGTTTTATTATTGGTCCATTTCCATGTCTGTCAGATGACGAGTACCTGTATGTGGTCGAAGCTCCGGGTCAGCAGCTGACCGCTGCCCAGACTCGGACTCCCCTCCTCGGACCCTCTGGTCCAGCCTGTAGCCTCAGCTTCGATTTCGCACTAACTGGGAATCCCGCTCATATTGGTAACTCGCTGTCCAACGTGTCTGAACTGGTTTTCTGCTCAGATGTTTGCGTATAACTCTGTCTTCCTGCTGCAGGTGACCTGTCTGTCAAAGTGATCGACAGCCTGCTGGGTGAAAGGCCTGCACTCTGGGAGTTCAGTGGGAAGACTGGGACAGATGAGGAATCCTGGCAACACGCAGAAATACTGGTTGGAATCAGAAAGCATCGCTTCCAGGTCGGCTTTTTCTCCAAGACCTCACTACAGTGTTACTGCTCATACCCAATACAAATTTTAGCACAAATGATGAGATGCAACTTGGAGATTTGTACCCAGGTTCTTATGTTTAATGAGGAAATTTAAGTCATCGATTGTGCTGGCTGTCAGATTCCCACATCTTTAAAGACTTTTGCAACCTGTTGGCACCAAATAATCCTTCCAATACACCGTAAGGTGTTCTTATAAAGGGGGATATCAGAGACCTGCACATTCTAGGAGAAGCAACAGTTTAAAGTTACATCTTATTTATTTTAAGACTGCAGGGGATTATTTTCCAGACAAGTCTCTTGTTTCCTGTTTGTTCTGCCTGCAGTTCAGTCAAATATTCACCCAGCCCTAGGTCGCAGCTGATACAAACATGTCATCTTGGTTGCGCTGAGGAACGAGGAAGTGTTTTGTTTTTTTTTTACAGGATTTGGTGTAAACTGTCTATTTTTTGGCAAAATGTTTAAATGAAGAATGCAGAATAGGTGATGTTGGTGAACTATCACATTTTTAGGCTTAGATTTGGTTGCATTTACTGACAGAAGTAACACAATTAGTTCAAGTTTAACATGTTGACAGTTGCACAGCTTCTGGCTCTGATAAAAAGTAATACTTTTTCAGAGAGGAAGATTTAACTAGTTTAGCTAGTTCAAGAAAAAAAAAAAGGCAACCAGGGGCTACATATGACTCATGAAATCCTAAAAAAATACACGACAACATAACATGAAAAGTTTTTGAGACTCATCACAATCAGAGGAAAAGTGAACATAGATTACATCTTTCATTATCGGCTGTATTCGCTTAAAAGCAAACAGTGAAACAGTTCGGCTTTTGTGAATCTGAGCAAAAACTGTTGAAGTTTGTTCAACTCATTAGATTTCTTGTTTTCCGTATTTGTCTTCACCAGCTGGCATTTGAAGCTCACGCTAGAAAACTTTGTCCCTGTGCCAAGATGATTAAAGTGAGAAACGTTCACTTCACCGGCTGTCACGTCAGCTACCTTCCATTCTCTCCCACAGGTAACTTCATGGCAACCATATTATACATGCACAGTTTAATATTCTACATGGAAACGTGTCAGTGCTTAAAATCAAACCTGTTTTTTTCTGGTCAGGGCTGTCGTGTAACTTTGAAGATGGAATGTGTGGATGGATGCAGGACAACAGCGACAGCTTTGACTGGACGATGTTCAGTGGGATGGACCACACCATCAAAGTTGGTAAGCTCGTTTAAAATAAAATAAATAATTATTCCTGATATGTCAAAAGGAGTAATGAAGTAGGAAAGATTTGCTGAAGTAGTAATGGCTTCTGTCAGGTTTAATATACTAAATTTTTAAAATCACTTTATGTGCGCATTAGGAGTATTAATACTGAGCAGGAAGATGAATTTCTCTTTAGAAAACACTAAAACCTACGAAAACTTTGGTTATGAACAGTTCTATATTCACTAGGGTGACAGTCATAGCTTTCAAAAGAGCATACAGTCGTAGTACATACAATACATGTAGAGTGGACAGAGAGAGCCACTAATTACTAGGCTGGTGGTTTGATGAAAGTCTAGATTAAGTTTTGGAGAAAAATTCTGAATATTAAAGCTGCAGTCGGCAGGAAAAAAAGCCACAACTGAAAAATATACACCCAATATCGTGCTGCTTTTCCCTCTTTCCTCTCTGTTTAAAACATTGACTAGATGTAAAAGATGAACGTAGCCTCTGGATCTGAAAAGTAAAGTCAAACATGCCTTTAACCTGCATTATTTCAAACAGCCAGCAGGGGGCGACTCCTCTGGTTGCAGATTGTATAGAAGTCTATGAGAAAACAGCCCTCCTTCTCACATGGTTTGTTACCTCAGTAAACATTTTTCCAACAAGTTTAGAGTCTCAGTCTGTAGTGTCAAGACTTTTTAGAACAGCATGGGGTTAATTTTTTAACTTATGGTCCTATTTAGAGTAAAATAGGTGCTAAAGTAGGATTTGTTTTAAACTTGCGATTGGCAGGTTGCTATCCTATGAGTCCTACGTGTCCTTGAGTTTTCAGTCAGACAATAACTCTTTAACAAACTGTGGAAATCTGAATCTGTGAAAAACATTATTTACAGTTTTGGCCTGTTTTTCCTCTATTTGCAGTCAGCATGTGAATTAACGTCCTTTTTCTGCGGTTTTACTAGAGATCATCTGTCATGTCACAAAGCAAAAGAAATCTGTCAGATAACAGTTTAAAAACCATTTTTCACTTCTTAGTTTACCTGATTTTTCTTTCAAGTCACAGCAAATATCTGTAAATGGAAATTTGCAGTTGTGGCCTGTTGTTGTTCAGTGGACTTATAAATGAAACCTTTGCTGTGATTTTATTAGATATTATCTGAATGTTTAGCGAAGTTGTGTTAAAAACTGTTGAAACACGTTTATTTACTACAGTACAGTTTGCAGACATGAGCTTTGTAGAGATTCCTGGATTTGATCGTTGTCTGAAAGAACCCTTCATGATGTTAGGTTTTCTGAAAAGTGTTTTTTAAGCCTCATTATGCAGAACTTTAATCCTTAATACAATCTAAACGAGTGAATTCTATAAAATCTGGCCCCCTGTACAGCTATCATTAATGGCAAAGTTAGGTGTAGAGACCAAAACCATTTCTTGTACCAGGCTGTAAACATGTTTATTTCTGCTGTGAAGTTGTACATTTTAACATGGAGGTCAATGGGGATTGACTCGTTTTTTGGCGTCACCCTCCAGTGCCCATTTGAGGAACTGCAGTTTTTGGCTCTTGTGCTTTAATTTTTTTTAAGTCCTGAAGGTTCTTTTTGTAACATTTGGGGGGTTGTGAACAAAACAGCCTCAACCCTGCAGGCGATTGCACTTATAGTCAACATTTATTCCTTTTTTTTTATCTCTATATTAAATAATTGTAATTATGTCACTAGAATAATCTCCCCTGGTGCGTCTGCTTATATATAAACCATTTTATAAGTAGCATTAAATTGTCCCACTGCTTCTGATATTTATTTAGATTCCTGTCCCATTTTTTTGGTTGATATTCAGGCACCAGCCTTGTTGTGGACATGTGGAGTCCTTCACTACGTGGCGCAGTAGGACGCTTAATTTCCTTCCCATATCCAGCCGGTTCCACAGATTACTGCCTGTCCTTCTTCTACAAACTCTACGGACCCAACACAGGTGATTATGTTCTGAATAAGCTGAATAAAAAAAGCGTGTATGTGTTGATTTAGAATGAAACGTTGCCTCATAGCCTGAAAATTGTGATTATCTGATCGTTGATATTTGATCCCATCCAGGTGTTCTGAACGTGAAGCTGATGCATAATGGCGGTTCTGAAACCCTCCTCTGGACTCGCAGCGGAGCTCATGGCAACACGTGGCACGAAGCTCACTGCTCTGTACCGCACCAGCTCACAGACTTTCAGGTATGAAAGAACTTCACTGAGCATCAGTGAAGTTACTAAACAAAGAAGTTATTTTACCAGCTGATTTGAGGTTTTAGAGAAACTCTGCCCCCTTGTGGCGAATCAAAACATCACTGCAGCTTTAAAGTACTCGCACTTTACAAGAGCATTTGTCTCCTAATAGCCAAAACATGTATAGAAAGGCTGGAAGACAATTGAAAAATCCATATTTTAACATTATCTTCCATCCTTTTCAACTGTGCATCCGCCTACAGCTGATGTTTGAAGCTGTTTGCTAACAAACTGTACTTTGACTGAAAGTAAAATTACAGAACCAATGCTTTTTATTCTGTAATGGTCACTAATTTTTATATTTTACATTATTAAACTTTTAAATGTATTTAAATGGAAATATTAAAGTCGTTTTATGTCATAAAATTTCAACTTTCTATGTAAAATGGACATTTTATGGTTCTTCAAAGTCGTAGGTCTTTAATGATAGTTTATATCAGGTCTATTTTTCTACTGATATACATTTCAACAAATATGCAGGTTTTTGCAGCTTTTACAGCCTATTTAAATGACTGTGTCGTTAAATCTGTGTCGTAAAGTCTTTGTCCTCTAGCAGCCAAACAGACACATAGACAGACTGGAAGACAACAGCACAATAACCATATCAACATTATCTTCCATCCTTTCCAACTGTTCGTCCACCTGCAGCTGGTCTTTGAGGCGATTCGCTCTGGCTTTGACGGCCGGCTGGCCATCGATGACGTGGTGTTCTTGGAGGGCTCGTGCACCGTACCGAGGATATGTTCCTTCGAGGGCCAGCAGTGTGGATACGAGAGCTCCGGTCAAGTTCGTTGGCTCCATCACAGTGGATTCACCAGCACCAACGGACCCAAATCTGACCACACTCTGGAGACCCCACTGGGTGAGAAAGAGTCCAGTTATATGTTAGAAATACTTAAATACATGTACAGAAAACTGAGGGTTTGCCTGGTTTGTGTCCAGGTTTCTACATGATGGTGAACAGCGGAGCGACCGTCCTTCCCTCCGGTGGAACCACAGTCCTCACATCATCTGTCCGTCAAGGAACCACCAAGACCGAGTGCGTTAGCTTCTGGTATCACATGGGAGGAGAGGATCCTGGTGAGGCACCTTCACACACAAAACACACAAATAACAACATCACAAACAGTTTGAATGTTAACCGTGTGTGCTTTGCAGGTTCTCTGTCGGTATTTATGAAGCCAGTGAAAGGAGACCGGGTGAAGATCTTCTCCAACAGTCTGGATCAAGGAGATGTCTGGCGCCATGGCAACGGCAACATCTCCAGTGGCCTTGTGGACTGGCAGGTACAGCGAGGAGGCTGGAACGATTAAATTCAATTCAATTATATGAACTATCACATGCGAACTGATGAAAAATGCACAAAAACACACTTTAGGACCCACTAGTGAAAGAAATATCATCTATAAGTTCTCCAGCAGAATTTAACCAACCAACTTTAGAAGACTGTTAAAGTTTATTCTGAAGGATCTTTTAATTTAAATCAAAGTGACATTGTGCTGATTTTGGCTTGCAGCTGGAGTTCGAGGTGGTCGGAGCCGGAGGCAAAGACACTCACGTTGCAATCGATGACATCCTTTTGTCAACTCACCCATGTGAAGATCGAGGTTCGTGTTGATCGGCTTCATCACAATTAGATAAGACGCTACTGCGGACTTTAACTTTCCATGATAAAAACTCACCTTCTAGCCTTAATGTTACTTGATGTTATGCATATTTATGGGGGAGTTTTTAAGGTCTAATGAAGAATATGTTTATATTTTTTATGTAATGGCACAAACTGTATTTTGTTTGACTAGCAAAGCTTACAGATGATTTACATTTATTAAAACACATTTATTCAACATTTAACAAAGATCTAAGTCAGATTACCAAACCAATACTGCTTTTTTTTTTTTTTTATAGTTGTCACTTATCTAATTTTAGCAATATATTTATAGCTGTAAAATTTGAATTTACATCTAATATTTAATAAGGAAAATTTTATAAAAAATTAAGCTGAAGCTGAGTCTGTTTATGCCAAAAAAATTCAACTTACCTACCAAAAAGAGAAAGTTTTACAGTTAGTCAAAGATTTTTTAATGTTTATTTATGTATACTTTGTGTTCAATGTACATTTTTGTAATTAAATTATCAATTTTATTGATATTTGAAAACTATAAGGTTTTTACAGTGCAGTCTCATGAGCTTAATTTACAACTCATATATTATTATATTTTGTATATATTTATGTATAATTTTATGAAGACTTGACTAATTACGAGATTACAGCAGAACCAAAGCTCACTGTTATATTTTAGTATTTTTTTTGCATTTAACATTTTCTACAATTTCCTGTTTATGTTTGAGTTAACGTTTGCTTTTCCTAAGATTCTATAGAAAATATTATATTAAATAAATATAGTTTGTTTAGGCCTCTTTCTCTTGAGTATAGATCTTTTTTTTCTCATACCAACAGATGAATCTCCCAGTATGTTAATTGCTGTAGAAATTCCTAATGTTAGTAATTATCATGAGGATTAGATTTTGCATATTAATGTATTTATTCCCATTTTAGACACCAGTCAGATAGAAGACGACATGTTGTTTACAGGTTTTTAACAGAAGTAAAGCTGCACCGACACAGTTGTTTTAATCAAAGCAGCGCGACACGGCTGAACTTGATTCGTCTCAGTGTCCGTGTTTAATCTGTTCAATGCTCCAGGTTCCAGGTGCAGCCTGGAAACTGGGGTGTGCAGCTGGAGCAACACTCAGAACGTGGATATGGACGAACTGGACTGGGAGCTGACGAGCCCGGAGGCCGAGCAACATTATTCCATCCCAGTGGAAGACCACACTCTGGGCACAGAGAAAGGTCAACCAGAGAGAAACCAACACGAATCAGAGCTGCCTTGTGCTTATTTCACTTCTTATCTACATGAACTCTTTCCTGTTTTCTTCCACAGGTCACTTCCTGTTTCTTCCAAGCAGCAATCGGACGGAAGCCAATGAGAAGGCTCGGCTGCTGAGCCCTCACCTGCCCCCGACCAAAGGCACCTGTCTGAAGTTCTGGGCCTACAAACCCCTCTCATGTAAGGAGAAGTTTTATAACTGGTTAGACGTGGTGCGTTTTCCTTTTTAATCCTTTTTAAATGTGTGCAGCGGACAACAAGCTGAACCTGTGGAGGCTGTCTGAGGGCCGCCTCCATCAGCTGGTGCTGGAAGATGAACTGGGCGGATCATGGACACGCTTTGATGTCGACATCACGTCTGACGAGGAATACCAGGTCAGAGAATAGAACAGGCTGTTTAATCTGTACACTGATGTGAAACTCAACCCCATAAAGTCTTCTATATGGAAATGTGTTCAAGATAAAACATCACAACTTCTGCTCCAACATCTCTGTACTTTTTATCATAACTTATGAATATTTAAAATTGTATCTGGAAAATTTTAGATTGATATACAGAGAGATTTTTTTTTCCACTGTTTAACATTTTTTTGTCCTACAGTAAAATTTGAGTCTGTTTGAACGACAGTATCTCAGGAACTTTTCAAAATAAAAGCTTCAAATTTTCAGAATTATTTCTCACTGATTCAGATTTGACAAGTCGATCAAATGATCTCTGATTCTGGCTCAGTTGGATTATTAAAATATAATTAAAACCGTCATGAAAAGTCTTATTTTGGAGCACATGTTAACAAAAAATGATAATGCAGAAGTCAACTAGTAACCAAACATATGAAATACTTTTTAATGTGAAGTATCTGGTCACAAAAATGAAAAATCTAAAGTTGTTTTTGTTGACCTTTTATTGAGCAGGTGTGGTAGGTAGTCTGATCCAAGTAGAAAGACTCCAAATATAGCTCAGAAAAACGTATTTTTGAGTACATGCATAGAATATTTTAGGTCACTTCTGATATCATGAATTCAGCTCAATGCAGCTCATTTCTTTCATATTTTTCCACTCCCTCCCTAATCAGAAATGATGCGATCTACTTGTCAATATCTACACAGTTGCAGATTCTGAATCAACATGATGAGAAACAGCAGTGAAAATGTCTGTTTTTCTTCTTTGATAGTTCCTGAGATGTTGTTGTGTAGAAATACGTGCTGAAAATGGATTTAAAAGAAATCTCTCAAAGTATTTAACACATTGAGCTAAACTTTCACAGATATCTTTGTAAATATCTCAATTTTATGCCACAACATTTTCGGGCAAATCAGAGATGGTTGAGCAGTAATTACAGATGGATTGACTCTCGTGTCTAATCTTGTGTTTGCCGTGAACAGATCGTGTTTGAAGGAGTCAAAGGGACGTCCGGCGTTGTGGCTCTGGACGACATCGAGTACACCATCGGCATCGACTGCTCTAAAAAAGTCACAGATGTGCAGAGTGAGTTCAGTTCTGAATATTACAGTGGTTTTACATGTTTTTAAACACTGAGTATTTGAAAAGCTTTTTTTTTGTTTTTAATTCTAATAATTAAAAAACACAGATCACTACAGCTGACAGTCGATGAGGTCATTTTGTGACCACAAAGGTTCTGAAAATGTTTAGAGAGTGGATGAAAAAGAAAATGTAAAGTTGGTTTGGACAGATTTTCCACTGCAATTCTTAAATCTTATTTTTTATCCAGGTGGTTTTATTTATAATTTTTTAAAAATAGAATCCAAATGATGATATTTCAGTTCTTTTCCACACTGAGCTATTCTTCTAGTTGAGCCTCTACAGCTCTGATTAGTGGCACTACGGCTCCTGATTTCTGCCGCAACCGTGTTTCCATCTGTTTTAGTTGCTCCTTCCTGTATCAAATGTCCATATTTGTGAAGCCTCACAGGCAGATTTTTCAGCTCCTCTGGCCACGTTTGTTCCTGTGTGGAGCCACGATGCAGACATGCAGCCCATAGGCCTAAAACTGAGCAAGCTCTGCAGTTATGATCATGTTTTTAATTAGAAATCTCAGGTTTATTCGGTTTTGTTGCACCTAGTTTCTACTTTGTGGCCTGTACTTTCAGTGACGTCTTTGTAAAGTATTGAAAATACAGCAGTTATTGGGAGGTAATGTTGAATTTATTTGACATTAAGTGCATAGAGTTGTATTAATAACTTCTGAGTAGTTTATAAATCACCTTGTAAGCTTGTCAGACTTGCTAAAGATTGATAATGAAGCACAGTTCCTTTTATTTCCATGCAGCTGTAACGTCACACTATGATTTAACTTTATTCAAATGTAAAAACTACATTTAAATATTTTAAATACAGGCTCACAAGAGTGTAGAATTCAAGACCAGGATGCTTTCAATATAGTTCAGCTTTAAAGAAAAGAGTTTATTGTCTTATATGTTAAACCAGTCCTGATGTCCTTTGACTGAACGTTTAATTATAATGTAAATCATCTCCTACTCTGTCTTTAGAGCTTTAGTGTTTCATAGAACTAGAAGCTGAAGGTTTTCCATCTTTCCTGCAGCTTCCGGTAAGTCGAGCAACACCGGAGGCATCGCGGCGTCTGTCATCGTGGTTCTGCTGCTCATCGCCACCCTGATCGCTCTGCTGGTTTACTACCTGAGAACCAAGAACAGAGCTCAGGCCACGTCCGGCCCGTCGTCCTCCTCGGCTGGAGGCGGTTTCAGCAATGACACATACGAATCAGTGAGTCGCTCTGATGCTCAAACCTTCGACGGCACTAAATAAGTCACAGATTTGACCTTTAATGCAGCTCTGTCTGCTGCATCTGATCAATAATAATCGTGTTCATTCCAGCAGGACCGTGTGGCGTTTCCACAAACACAGAACCATCCAGTGGCAGCCGGATTCAATGACATCCCTGTGAGTGTGAACCGTAATACTTTATAGAATTAATTTACAACTTATGGTTTATCTGGTGTCGAGACGATCAGCTTTTCTCTGCTCATATGCACTGTGTTGTTTAAAAACGGTGCTAAAGCTGCACTTTTATGTCTTTGACCACTAGAGGGCAGAAAGTCAATAATAAAATACCTGATGCCAAACATTATGAACACATCCAGCAGAGAGAAACGAAACATGCTGCCCACTGAATTATTATTATTATTATTAGTTGATCGACTTTTTGTTATTGAGAAAACCCACTAAAGCTGCAGTTTTAATTAAGTGTTAATTTTCCTAATTTAAAGGGAATATGAATATTTTGGTTGAAGTTTTACAGTTTTTAGGTGTTTTTTGTTTTTATTTTGTATTTTTTGTTTGCTCCTGTCACAGTTTTACTCACTGTGGCCTCATTTTTCACTGCAAGGCAAAGAATGAAAACAACACAACCACTGCTAGAAATAAAGAGAACTCAGGAGTGTCTTCTATACAGTTTGACAGTTTAATGCCATAAATCTTTTTAAAAAGACATAAATGAAAGCACATTTTTTTTAAAAACCGGAAAAGAAAGGAATCAACATGTATAACATTTTTCCAAGTGCCCACAGATGTCATCAATACTGAATAATTGATTTTCTACATTTTATAGATAGGTTAATTGCATTTTACAACCTCTACAAACTAGACAATCCAGATGGATGTTTCACTATGCTGGATGCATCTTCCAACAACTCGTTCCACTTTCAACCATTTCTGAGCCATTCTGCGTTTATTTCACTGATCAGGTGTTTACTTATCTAACGTTCAGCCGCTCTAGTTATCTCCTATCAGCTCTGTGTAAAGTCCCTGAATTTTTGTCCTTCATGTGAGATCTCGTCTATTTTAACTGTTGATCACAGCGGAGTGGGTCGTGGCTTCTCAGTCTTGCAGAGGAGTGCAGATTTTTGTCTGTTTTTAAAGAAGTTTCACTGCAAATGTTTTACTTTTGGCAAATTTTTAAAAATGAGAAATGTAGGCTGTAGATCGTTTCATGGTCAATTATTTGTGCTGCCTTGTGAGCTTTGGAAAGCCAAGGAAAGTATATTTTGACACATTTAATCGTTTATTGATGTATTTTTGTTTTCAATTAGGGTTGATTGTAAGGTGTTTTTATACTTGGTTGATGTATTTGCTTCCTAAGACATCGATCAGCCCATTTAAACGGTTACAGATGTCATAATATAAAAAAAAAAGAATTAACTATATCATACAAAGAGCCTCAAAGAGGTTTTCTGCTGATATGAAATATCACAGTCAACAATTTGCTTCAAATCATAATATTTCATCGAATATCATAGTTTTAAGAACAACCAAAAATACTTCTCTGTCTGAGATATTTAATATCACATTAAAACCTTTTGAGGCTCATGATTTTTTTCTTCTTCTTTAGAAAGTTATTGTCATCATATTTCATGAAATATCACAACTTTAAGCCAAGAATGATGAAAAATACACTTAAGATGGAAAACTTTTTTTGGCTATGATATTTAATAGCATATGAAAACCTCTTTGAGACTCTGTGTATGATCATTTTTCTTTTCTTTTCTTTTCTTTTCTTTTCTTTATAAAATTCCTTTCATGATGTTTATTGAATATTCATTATTTTTAGTTTATTTTTGGCCATTTTTCCTGATGAAACCATCACACATGAATACTTCAAGGTCAACCAGAAAGCTGTAAATCCAACTCAGTTTCAGTTTTGACAGTTTCTTGCGATGATTATTTGTGTAATTTATGTGTTTTTTAAAATAAGAAAGCATGTTTTTCAAACCTGACGGCAGACTTTAGGGTTCAGAGAGTCAATACTTACTTATTACATTTTTAGGATGAACATAACAACTGATATATTCAATCGGCTCATTATTTCATGTTTTACTTCCAACAGCATGTTTGTGCAGCACACTTCCTTCTTAACTATGATTATTATGTGATCATAAAGACGGACTTCTTTGTGTTTCTGCAGGACTACGCTGAGGTCACAGAGATGGCGTGAGACAGACGGGGAACTTGTGGCGCCACATAAACGTGGTTTTGTGAAATTAAGGTGATATCACAGCAGAAGAACTGCTTGTGTCACCCTCATATGAACACACACACACACACACACACACACACACACACACTAAATACAAGCACAACCCACACAGTGACACACGGATGAAGGCCTCAGATCTGGTGGAAACCTTCGAGGGTCGCAGCTCGCTGCGTCTGGACAGAAGTCAGAAGGACAAATGTGTTGCGGATGGAAATTAGATTAAATCAGCGGCGAGGACAACGTCAGTGGCACAAACGGCTACTTTAGGCAGATTTAGGGTCTGTAAGAAAGTTCCAACAGCTTCAGGTCAAGTGCAACTAGTTTAAAGAGAACTCAGCAGGTTGGAGTCCTTTTTTATAGCTTAAAGGGGCATTCCGCCTATTGTACACGTCTAAATAAGCTCAAGGACTCCACGTTTACAACAGAAAAACGTTTGAAAGGAGTTTACAGAACGTCTGCACGTCTGATCTGTTGCTCAGAAAGTTGTGAAATGCCCCTTTAAAGAGAAAGTAGGTGGATAAGAACGACTGTGAACAGATGTAAAAGGACGCTGATGTGTAACGCTACTGTTTGGTACAGATTGTAGGACGGATGTATTCTTTTGGATGTCTTGGAGGTTTAACTTCACTCTAATTTAAAATAAGCTGTAATCGGGCTCTGATGATAAATGAAATAAAGCCGAGCATTGAAACACTGCTGTCAGAAGGTTTCCTGATAATCATTACTGAAACTCACAAAGCATTTTGACTCAATATTTGTCTTCCTGTCTTCATATTAGAAACCTTTTTTTGTCATATAGTTGGTTTGGGCTGCATTAAAGTGAGAATGTGTTTGCTGTAGTGATGACAATTAAATGAGATTTTAATGAGTGTTAATCTAATATTGTCAATCCAGAGCCTGGTGTTGGAAACTAGCTTTGTGCAATACACCAGAAACTGCTTTTGAATCGTCCTCGTTCCTCCGTCCTTCACGAATAAAAAACTAAATAAATAATTGCTAACATTAATTAAGAAAAATTATGGCCTTGACCTGATGAACAAATTAATTGAAAATAGCAAATATTTTCTGGCTTTCAGCTTCATATTTAAAGATTTTCTTGGTTTTCAGAAAAAAATGCATTTAAAAGCAAAAACAGTGGAAATATTGGTAAATATCTCTGAAATAAGAATATTTTAGCTGATTAAAGATACAGTAAAGCAGCGTAGTTTTACATTCACACATCATAAAAAGGACAAAACAGTTTATTAGAATCCAGACTTTTGATGTGAACATTATGTACATTATTGGTCTGTTGTTTTTGTTTGTTTTTACCGTAATTATAAATTAAAAATAATAATAATAATCTGTGACTTTACTAAATGTTAGCTGTAACTCCACAAAATAGGGAAAACAGTAACGTATAGTTTTAAAATTATTTACCATTTTACATTGCTATTTTTTTCTTTCATTTTTCTCCCAGATGATGGCAAATATCTGTAAAATAATGTGTTTTGTCTGATTTAAATCCAGTAAAATATTGTAATTATATCATCAAAAGTTGTAAAAGAAGGAATTAAAATACAGATTTATTTTAACACATATATTTTCTTTAAAAAACAACTCTTTGATTTTACTCGTTATCTGTAACAAAAGGTGAAAAATCTTTGAAAGGGCTGGAAAAAAAAAATAATACAGTTAATCCTGTTGAGAACATGATCATGTTCCAGTGTGCATTGTGACACATGTTTATCAGATTATTAAATACACAGATAGAAAATAAACGTGAATCAGTGTTCTGCATCAGAGGATGAATGGACGCACCGGAGCGGCCTCCTGATTGGCTCCCTGCCCCATTTGCTCCTCGTTCATCCTTCAGGAAGAGGGATGACGACATCATGCCCTTAGCAACGGTCGCGTCTCTACGGCAACATCCTCCGTGGTCCCTCTGTTGTCACAGAGACTCTGATCTGTTGTCTGCACAGAAATCAGCGCGTGATTTGGGATGAACTCATGATTCCGAAGGATGCGCGCGTGTTGTCATGGGTGGAATCCGCGCGACCGCCGCGGCAGCTGTCGGTGTCTCGCGACTTGAGTGGCTGAAGTTGGAGCGGCAACTTGGGCACGAGGCCCTCTGCTCTTCACCACCACCACCACCATCATCATCATCCTCCTCCTCATCGTCATCCTGCAGGAGTCCGTCAGCAGCCCGGTTCCGTTCTTTCCCATCCGGACCGGCTTCGTCCAGAACCCGCCGGGTCTCGTGCAGCGGTGCGCGCGTCCGCATGGATCCCGCCGTGCTCATCTTCCTGCTCTACGTGATGATCGCGCACGAGCTGGTGTGCGGCTGGATGCAGTACCGCAGACTGAGCGCCAAACCCCGCAAACGAGCCGCAGGACCGCTGCTGCGCACCAGGTGCGTTTGAGTGCAAGAACCCAGAGGGCAGGGAACGTTCCGACAACGTTAGTTAACATTAGCGACGAGTTCTAAAGAGAACGTCCAAATCTAATGTTCAGAGGAGGTGCTGAGCAGATCACCAGCTAGATGTACTTTAGTCCAAAGTTGTTCTGAGAAAGTTCTGCAAAGTTCTGCTAATGTTTTCAGAAGGACGTTTTCAGAATGTTCCTCCTAAAGGCAGGATGACTAAATATGTTCTGAATATGTTTGGTGATACATTGGTTCTTTGTTTTCATGCAACAATGTGGAACATTGTAGGAACGTTTTATAGATTCTATACTGTGTTCCCTCAACAACGTCCTCAAAATGTCTTAAGAACGTTGCAGGTAATGTATCACATTGCAGGAACGTTTTTCAAAGAACATTGGAATGTTAACTTGAGATCATCCTTTCTTTGTTGCCGTTGTTTTAAAGAACGTTCTATGTTGTTTACCCACAACAAAAAGGCCCCTCCAATATATCACATAACAGGAACCTTATCTGTCATCTGAAGTCTCAATAACGTCTGGAAAACATTTTGTTGAATGTTGGTTTGAGAACTTTTTTTTTTTTTAAATCAAGCAACTTTGAGAGAATGATCTATAGAAGAACTTTCTATATTGAGTTCCCTCTACAAAAATGCAAAATGTTCTACCTTCAGTGCAACAGGTTACAGGAACGTTTTAAAACTTTAAGAACTTTCTGTCATCTCAGTAACATCGTCATGACGTTTTCTAAATGTTGCATTGAGAACATCCCTCCTTTGTATCCTTGTGGAAACATTTTATAGTAGAACCTTCTGTAACATGTTCTTTCAACAACAGTCTCAAAATATATTCAGGATGCTGCAGAAGTAATGTTCCACCTTCGTTAATATATCACATTACGAGAACGTTTTATAAAAATCATCTGAAGCCTCGATAAATCCGAAAAACAGTATTTGAGTGTTTGTTTGAGAACGTTCTGCCTTTGTTATCATGGAACATATGTTGACATTCAAAAGTAAACATAAACAGATTTTTTTTTTTTTTTTTAAACGTTCTTTTAACATATGATTAAAAACTTTCTTTAAAGAATGATTAGAACCTGTAGCTGGTGTGATTCAGTTCTGTAGGAAAGTTCTCTGCTAGCTGGGATTTCTCATTTTAAATAACGTTCCTATGGGGTTAAATGTGAACAAAAACAGAATGTTTTAGTTGGAACAAAAGAAGAACTTTTTGAAACAAACGTTCAAAAAATGTTTGGACGATGTTCTTGACACAACAATGAGATTGATATATACTTATTATGTGTACTTGGGTCTTTACGTGTTCTTCAGGTTATGACACATGCTGGGCAGAAAGATGTATTCTGTCTCATTCAGCTCTTTGAAATCTAAAGTTAAAGAGCCGACCTTGTTGAAAAAATGTTCTTTATTTCCTTTAATGTTTAAAATCAGAGCTGAAGGTGCAACTCTATGCTAACTTCACCTGTTTCTGTTGCCAGTGGTGGTGATGAAGTGACCTCTGAACTGAAAATATAAAAGATCAAAACAAGGATTTAAATCAGACGTGTTCTTAATCAACGTGTTCTTAAAGGGAGAGTTCATCAAATCTGACAAATAGATTTACTTGCTTTGCTTCTGTGTATGCTGAATATTTCAGTGATTTTGTGATGAGACAAGTTGTAGCTGTTGCTGCTGGAACTTCCGTATTACGTAAGAAACTGGCTCCTTGAATATCATTTTACCACAGAAAGAGGATTTCATAGAAACACATTCTTTACCGTTGATGTCTAACACTTACCTGGTACTGACTGGAGGAACTGCTTCTTTTACAGACCTGGCTTTGTGCCCTGGAAACCAGGAAAGAAACGCAAACAGAACATCCTTAAGCATTCAATAAATATTTTCCAGATGTTATCACAGCCTCACATGATAGACAGATTTTTTTTATAGAACATTCTTGTAATGTGAAATACTCGGTCTAGAACATTTTACCTTGTTGTTGAGGGAACACATCTTAGAATGTTCTTTTTAAAAATAAAAAAAAAAACATTCAAACAATGATAATAATGGAGGGATGTTCTTTATGCAGCATTCCAAAGCATTTTTTAAAAAAACATTTGAGACCTCAGATGACAGAAAGTTCTGTAAAAGCCGTTGCTTTACAGAGTTATATTAACAAAGGCGAACCACTGTGGCTGCAATGTTCCGAGGGTGTTTTGGGGATGTTGTTGAGGGAACACATTATAGAACGTCCATCTGTAAAACATACTAACAATGTTCCATGATGACAAAGGAAGAATTTTCTCAAGCCAACATTCAAAAAAAAAGATGTTATCAAAGCCTCAGATGAAAGAATAGTTTGTTGGTTTGTTTTTTATACAGAATGTTTTATAACATTCCTGTAATGTTCTTCTTAATGTTCTTAAAACTGTTCTTAATGTAGCATTCAAAAAACATTTTTTTTAAAACACCTTTGACACCTCAGATGACAGAACGTTCCTGTACTGCGATATATTAACAAAGGCGAACCACTGTGGCTGCAGTGTTCTGAAAATGTTTTGAGGATGTTGTTGAGGAACACATTATAGAACATTTATCTATAAAACATAATAACAATGTTCCATGACAACAAAAGAGGAATTTTCTCAAACCAACATTCAAAAAAACGTTTTCCAGATGTTATAAAAACTTCAGATGACTGATTTGATTTTTATATAGAGCGGTGTATAGATAATGGATGGATGGACATTTTAGAACGCTCCTGTAATGTTTTTCTTAATGTTCTTAAAAGTGTTCTGAATGCAACATTCAAAAAAACATTTTTAAAAAACATTTGAGGCTTCAGATGACAACGTTCTTTATAAGACTTTGGAACCTTTCGGCTGCAATGTTCTGAGGATGTTGTTGAGGGAACCCATAATAGGATCTCTAAAACTTTAATGTTACATGACAACGAATGAAGAACGTTCTCAGTGCAAGAGAATATTTGAGAACATTACGGCATATCGGCTTTGACAATGTTGTCCCCAAACATTTTTCGAACGTCTCTTATTAACCCAGCTTTAAGAAGAACATTCTCAGAACTAAAAGGAAAACCTCTTTTAAACATTAGTGGAACTTTGCAGAACTTTTTTTTTTTTTAGAACAAACTAATTGTCGCTTGGTGTGCCATAAAAAACAGCCACAGATCAAAAGCACACATGTGCAGCAGGTAGATCAAAATGTACTTTTGATGTTTACAACAATTAACACGTTGGAAAAACGTTTTCCGCCAAAGACTGAATTTTGAGAC